ATCGTGGCTTACAATCTGCAGACATGTGTGGATATACAAGACAAATAACAAACAGATACACAATCAGGGTACAAGTAGGATTATTGTTATTTTGCACATAATAGCACTTTTTTGTTTATCTTTGTTAATCGTTTCCTATTTTGCTCATGAGATTCGTCAAGATATACTATGGCAGTACAATACAGAGATTTGGCAGCATTCACCAATGCAGAGATATTTGTGAAAATATTCTTTCTTCAACCATATTTTTACAGTGTAATGACATACAGTTACTTTATTTCCACTAACAACAAACAGGGGAATTTCAGTAAACAATCTGAAACACACACAATTATTCAGATTAGTTTTAAACTTTCTTTAATTACACTGTACTCCAATATTTACAACTTGTGAAAAGTGGAAAAGGTCATATTATAGTGTCCTGCACTCAAGATAGTCAATACCAACAGTAGCTGAAATGCATAGTGGGGCAATAGCTGTGCACGAACCTGCACACAATGTACAACTTACAAATATATTTAACTGCTGTTTCACCTTACCATTTGAATGTTAAATTTACTTGCAATAGTAATTTGGTTCTGAGCACTACAGTTCATGAGGCCTGGCAAACCAAGGCAGTACTAACCTCTGATACTGTTAGTAACCATAAAAATATGACAAACCAATGCTTGTTAATATTGGTGTATACAACATTGAATTGAAATACAGAATGTGTTTCGTTCAAAATTGAGAGAACTCAATACATTAAAAAGATATGAAGATGGTTTTCAGTTCAATGATAGAATCATACTATCATACACATGCTTTGATGTAAATACAAAAACTTTCCCTTCCCCCAAGCATTGTTAGTTTTAAAAAGAACAGTAGACTGGAAATGGTGATAGTTTGTACATACTACATGTATATAAGCCTGAATATAGTCTATTAGGAATATGAAACCTATCATGTATGAGATATGTATGTCATGTTACAGTCAATATGGTAACATGCTAGTGAGAGTAACACAAAAAATTGTATGTATTTTTGTTATGACACTATAGCCATAGATGTGGGCATAATGAAACCAATATTGTCTGTGTTATGTGCAGTTGGGATTTGTCAATTGAAATCCCAAGTCTATTTGGTTCATATTCAATTTGGGAACTTGGAGTGAATTGTAGAAATACAAATTTTTCAATTACTCCAATGGTTTATTTGCGACAGCAAACACAACCAAATCACTGAAAGAGTAAATGTCATAGTGACTTAATGGTAATAAAGCCAAAACGCTTCAACACAAGAATGTGCATTAGTTATCAGAATTCTTGCACACTTTAGCTGTCAATACATACATAACAACTGGTACAAGTAATGTGGATTCCATAAGTCATGTACACAATCAACATACATTAACAAAGCTGTACGAAACATCTTTCTGACACAGGAAAATTAATTGCTTGTTTGCATATTTTGGATTCCCCAGAAATCCATTAGAGACCTCAGACAATGCATGATGGTATAAATCAACTCATGATCAATATGATTAAAGGCACTTACTGAGAAAACAAAATTATTTCAAGGGCTTTCAATCAATTAACAGGTAATAAAAGAATAATACAATACAGTGAAAATGCTAATACCAACAACTTGTTTGTTGTTGGCAATATGTAGCAGGGGAAGTTATCCACGTATAGGCAACAGTGAAGGGAAATGTACATATTATTTGAATCCCTACTATATAACTTTGTTTGGAATTCAATATTGAATTCATTTTCAATGGTATTGGTATTAGGGTTTTGTTGATATGCAGTATATACCTATTCCATTGATATTAAATTTCAATTTAATTAAATTTACCTGAATTTAATAATATACAGCTAAATTAAACTGTAATTAGATCAAACCTCTATATAGTTTCAATTTAATTGAGTTAAATTAAACTTCAAAAAAAATTTAAAATTAATGCAATTTAAAAACTGAATTAAGTTAATGGTCATGGATTCCCAGTACGTGTACACGAGTCTGATAGGACTTAACCACCAGCCTACTTGCCAACCTTTAGCCAGTTTTCCCTTTAATGCGAAATACATGTGGCCAATAATGTGTTAATGACATGCAAGATTCAGTCCAGTCTAGATGATACCAACTTTATTATAGCCCTGGCACTCAAGGTAACAGAACACAAAAATGCTGTTATTCAATAAACATAAATAAAATGAACATAGAAAGAAGAACTCTTGTATGTATAGAATGTGTACAAAGTAGAAATACAGAATATTTAAAATTTATAAAAAAAAAGTGATTAGCCTTTTAAACAAGATGTCTGTCCGCTAATATAGATAGGTCTTCTCTTTGAGATACACAATGTGATACACAGTATTCAAGTATAGAAAACTATAATAATACAAAATTAATAAGACTGTGGTTTATCCCAGACTACCTATTAACCATGTTTCATTTGAATCCGTGGTTCATAGAAAGATAGATGTATAATTTATTGAAATTAGGTAAATAATATTCATGATTTTAACTTAAACAAATCACAGCTATAAATTACCTCATGTACCAAGATTCATTGAAATAATTGAGATAAACATAATTTCCACCATAAAACTATCAGGTCTTTGGATCAGAGAGCATCTAAGTACCATGTTTTTAATGAAATTAAATGAGTGGTACTAGAGATAACAGGAACAACTGAATTAATTTGTAAATTTTTATTTGGCACAGCATAAACTTTTCATCTCACCTTGAGCTGGGAATTCATACCAGACAACAATATGTCACCTAGAATTGGGAATTCATACCAGACAACAATATGTCACCTTGAGTTGGGAATTCATATCAGACAATATGTCACCTTAAGTTGGGAATTCATATCAGACAATATGTCACCTTAAGTTGGGAATTCATACCAGACAATGATATGTCACCTTGAGTTGGGAATTCATACCAGACAATAATATGTCACCTTGAGTTGGGAATTCATACCAGACAATATGTCACCTTAAGTTGGGAATTCATACCAGACAACAATATGTCACCTTGAGTTGGGAATTCATACCAGACAATATGTCACCTTAAGTTGGGAATTCATACCAGACAACAATATGTCACCTTGAGTTGGGAATTCATACCAGACAACAATATGTCACCTAGAATTGGGAATTCACACCAGACAACAATATGTCACCTAGAATTGGGAATTCACACCAGACAACAATATGTCACCTTGAGCTGGGAAGTTCACACCAGACAACAATATGTCACCTAGAATTGGGAATTCATACCAGACAATAATATGTCACCTTGAGTTGGGAATTCATACCAGACAATATGTCACCTTAAGTTGGGAATTCATACCAGACAACAATATGTCACCTTGAGCTGGGAAGTTCACACCAGACAACAATATGTCACCTAGAATTGGGAATTCATACCAGACAACAATATGTCACCTTGAGCTGGGAGTTCACACCAGACAACAATATGTCACCTAGAATTGGGAATTCATACCAGACAACAATATGTCACCTAGAATTGGGAATTCATACCAGACAACAATATGTCACCTTGAGCTGGGAGTTCACACCAGACAACAATATGTCACCTAGAATTGGGAATTCATACCAGACAACAATATGTCACCTTGAGCTGGGAGTTCACACCAGACAACAATATGTCACCTAGAATTGGGAATTCATACCAGACAACAATATGTCACATAGAATTGGGAATTCATACCAGACAACAATATGTCACCTTGAGCTGGGAATTCATACCAGACAACAATATGTCACCTTGAGTTGGGAATTCATACCAGACAACAATATGTCACCTTGAGCTGGGAAGTTCACACCAGACAACAATATGTCACCTAGAATTGGGAATTCATACCAGACAACAATATGTCACCTAGAATTGGGAATTCATACCAGACAACAATATGTCACCTTGAGCTGGGAATTCATACCAGACAACAATATGTCACCTTGAGCTGGGAATTCATACCAGACAACAATATGTCACCTAGAATTGGGAATTCATACCAGACAACAATATGTCACCTAGAATTGGGAATTCATACCAGACAACAATATGTCACCGAGAGTACTATGAAATTTTACTGAGATGGAAAACTGCAAAACAAGTAGGGTAAATAAGGTTGTAAGGCTGATCACTAATCCATGTATCGTAAAACATATATTTTTTTATGGATACTTTTTGACAAAGTTCAACACTTGTTTAATTAGTTCATATCTCATATGCTGGACTGCTCTTTAGACAACATCTCAGTTATGTAGCAATATTGCTGTCATAGCAAGCTGACTATTCTGGGCACTCACTGGCAGTTTTTTAGTATGGTAGTAGGGCAGGTACTGAGCACTATTTGCAGATCACAGTTTTCTTCCTCTTCTTTTCATAGCAGCTGTACACTGTGGACAATACCATTTACCTTTAGGGGCTTCTGTAAGACCCACACAGCCATAATGGAACCATTCAATTGGACACTACAATGACAAAATATGATGATAAATTAATCATACAACATTATTGTGTGGTAATTGCAAGGTCACAAAGCAGTATATACTACATGTATAGCGTAAAGTCCTACAGCCTATTTTTAAAAAAGCACACAAACTGTATTCAAATTTGATGTTGCTGTAGGTATGTTCTAAAATTGGAGTTGAATTTATGTTTGTCGTAATCACTTATGGCTATTGAAGAACACAGTGTTTGTTGTTTGTCACAATGAAAAGTGCAACATTTAAATACTTTAACACTCCATGTGTCTTCAAAAAAATGTTTTTCCATTAAAATAAATGCCAAGGATTGCACTTCAGCATTGATAAATTACTTTCATGTTGTGTTTGTCATTGCCAATAATTAGGGAAACTAGAGAGGATAGTAGAGTTGTCTGGTTTGACAATGGAGACTGTTGGGTGTCTGAGATTCTGGTTTGATAGTGAGGACAGTTGGGTTTCTCAGTTGTCTGGTTTGACAGTGGAGACGGTTGGATTTCTGGTCTGTCTGTTGTTTTGACAGTTGGGTTAGTAGGGTTTTCAAGTTCTCTTCTTAGACAGTGAGGATAGTAGGTTTTCTGAACATTCTTGTTCAATAGTGGAAATATATATATAACATTCATGTATGTAGTTACCAGCAATAATTTGTGGTTTACATGTATGCCTAATCTAATATGTTTTATCTTCACAATGTCATGCAATACCAGAGAAGTTGTTTTTAACTTACATCGTCATTATCACAACCAACCATTTCACCATAAGAAACTTGGTTGCATATACAGTATCTTGGCTCATTGGGATCATATGTCCAATCTGCCTCTGCAACCACAGGTTCAGGCACAGGTTCCTGCGGTACAACCTCTGGCACTGGTTCTGCTCGACATGTTGAAGAGTTTCTTGTATTTTGTCTGTGAATAAAAGAGACAGTGCAAAGAGACAGTGAATAAAACTACAGGTATCAATCATCTTGCAATGTAATGTCACTGTGTATGTATTTAATGATAAATATAGAAGTATATAGAATTCCGTTGTTTCTTATAAAGTGCCTGTATCTCATGGTATTTTTCACTATGGAGATAATGCCTGTACATGTGATAATAAATGTTCATAGCAAGGAAACAAATGTCAACAGGATAGCATGCATTATTACTAGTAGTATAAAGGTTTCGATTCATAATAATTGTAACCAAAGCACATACTTTATTTGTGTTCAATCTCAAAACTATACACATAATGAATAATGTAGTTCCTATTCCTGTGCATAGTAAACCGTTTTGCATTGTTATTTTATAGAATTTAGCATATGCAAATAGCATATAAAGATGCAGTACTTAAGTGACCTGATAGATGGATCAAGTCAGTCATCTTGAGTAGAGTTGCATCAACAATCAGTAATGGTTACTCCTTCCACTAAGTTTGTAGAAAATCAAAAACAACACATGCTAAGATCTGGTTCAGGAAATGTCAAAATACTGGACTTTAGTGTTGAAATATAGTCAGCAGTCGACTGTTTTTGATCAGATGACAATATTATAATTGTATTTGTGTATGAGTGTCATGATGTACAATCAAGGTATAAAGTTAGGTTACTGATAATATCAATAATAGCAGACTGACATCACATTGCAACGGTTAGTTACAAGTGACCAGAGAAAGTTCACCCTCTATACGAGCATGATAATATTACAATTACTGCTGCTTACTTATTTGATTCACGACATGTTAGTATATTCATACAGTAACACTAAAATTTCACTAGCAACCTACTGTCAACTGGTTTGATCTCATTATTCTACATTAACTTAAATTGAAGGTCAATGTTTAGAATGCTATGAAATCACTAGTGATTGTTGTATCCTCTAGTAAGAAATTTAATATGACTGCAAGAAAAAGATTTCAGGGGGTTCAACAGCCTATGATTTCTATTTTAGAACTAAATATTGGATATTCACTGATTTGGTGTGGCACATAAATTACATTGTAGAACTATTATGGCTGTCAGCTGATTATACGATTTACCATAAAAACTACTCATCTCTTTTCAAAAAAAAATATTTCAATTTGAAACCCTTTAATTCATGCTATAAACTTTTATGCAAAACACAGCACAACAACCATTGACAATGCTCAGTCGTCAAAATGAACAAATCTGAGAGAGGTATGACAAAAATATTCACCAAAATTAGAGAATTGAAGATATCATCATGAAATGAACAAATCTAAGAAAGGTCTACCCAAGGTACATATACACTAAGTATCAAAGCATTCAGGCTTGTAGTTTTCAAGAAGAAGTCGAAAAAGTAAAACATTGACACCGGCAACAGACAATCACTCATATGATAAGCTCCGCTCGACAAAGTCTACAGCGGAGCTAAAAAATGTTATGTTCAGCCAACATCCAGTATGTATAATTATTGTAGTGAGTTTGAATGGAATGCATGCAAGACAATTCAGAGAAACAGTTGTTAAAATGATGTGCACCTGTAACCTGATATGTATCGGGGATCTCACCAGTACAGTGGGAGCATTGGCCGCTCATGAATTTTAATGAGCTCGGCCACAGTGCAAATACTTTTTTTTATTGGTCTCAAAATATTATGTTTCACAATTTAGAATAGTTTGAAATTAAAAATTGAAACAATTCAAAACATTCTCAAAATGCAAATGCTGCAGACTAAAAACAGCAACAAATTAATGTTGCAATGTCTATTGTAAAATGTTAAATGAAACAACACTTTTGAAATGTTTCAGAATATGTTCACAAGTTTCACGATCTTATTTACTGCAAAACACCCTCCTTCAAAAAATCGACCATGTAATTATTTGGGGAATTGTTGCAATTTACTGTAAAACATGTCTTTTTCGCGAGCATGTCTTTTTTCCCGAATTTAGCGAGAGAACTGATTCGCTAATTCAAGATGTCGCTAATGACTTTATTATCAATTCAAAATGAAATCAAACAAAGAAATCAACAATGACAAGAGAGATTCGCTAAATCAACATTTTGCTATTAGTCATTTTACTACAATTCACTGAAATTGCATGCCGCTTTTTCAACATGTTTTACAGTATTATAACTTACTTTGAATGTTATACACCGGTTATACCAATAATGCCTCTTACTCAGTCATGCCATGCACAAATTTTTAATTGTGATCACTTGTTTGCTTTGGTAAAATCACAAACACGCCATGATGTTTGTGATGGATCAGTTGACCGGCTTGTGTCCTTTGACCAATCAGAATCAGCAATCAGAATGTCACATGATAATGCAGATAGAACCAAAAGTTTTTCGAATGGTAGTGATCATAAAATTGCATTTTGGAAGTAAAACGATGTGTTGGTGTGGATTTCAGCTGAAAACTATATGATGGTTTTCGAAAGCGGTGATTAGCAATTTTTAAAAGATAAAAGAAGAGTTTTGACATGATTCGCGATGATAACAGTTGAAATGTATTTCACCCACTCATGCAATAAACGTGTTGCTTTTTCTTGGGTAGTGTGAACAGATTGTGATCTCTGCTTTGACCATGTTATATTGGGGTTAAAGTGAAGAGGTGCTAATTATACAAAATTGACTAGTATTGTTTATAAGCCACCATCATGAGACGAGGTTCATTGTTTACACATTATAATCGTTCTACTGGCAGGATGCGTGCTGGTCGGCTTGTAGTTATAATAACAATTGGACAAGTGTTTCCATGGTAGCTGCTAATTTTGAGTGCCGGTTGGGGCTGACCAGCGTGGCAAGATCCCTGATGTATGATACTGATGCAAAGCAGTGTTCATCTGCGAGAAATGATTTCGTACACATTTATGGACCACCATTACATGAGTTTAGGCTGTCAAGTTCAATCAAATCAAACAAGTCAATGAAAATGACTCAGTCCCAGTGTTCTCCCCAGGCCAAAACAGCGTCGCGAGCCGCGACGCGATCAGATTTGCCCGCGACGCTATGTGTTTTCTCCGCGATGCTATTATTTATCCCGTGATCTGATTTCTTCAGTCTTTCACAGACTGTAAAGTTTCCTGGCTAACTAGTTAAATCTACAAATGCATGGTATTAACGACAAATTCCCGGGATAATCCCCTGTTTTTTCTCATTGGTTGGATATCGTTTAAAAAAAAACAAAGCAGTTCTATAAACACAAAGCCGTAAGCCCCGGTGTCAAATGCTTTTTCCGAAACATATATTCATATGCAAATGAATAGTCACACCATAGAGTGAGTCGGCCATCTTTGATCCAATTGTGAAATATATCGTCATAAACATGTATCCTAACATGTATAATCTATGTACCAAGTTTGAATGACAACTGACAAAGCATGTCCAAAATACAACATTTTCAAAAAACAAGATGGCTGTCAGTCGGCCATCTTTGATCCAATTGTGAAATAAATCGTCATGGACATGTATCCTAACATTTATAATCTATGTACCAAGTTTGAATGACAACTGACAAAACATGTCCAAAATACAACATTTTCAAAAAACAAGATGGCTGTCAGTCAGCCATTTTGAATCGAATCGTTAAATCACGGCATGTGCATACGTCCCACATAAAGTACTAGGCACATGCAAAGAATGAACGGAATCGATCCAAGGGATTCTGAGATATGACTCCGGACGGACGGATGGACGCACAGACACACAGACGGACGGACGGAGACCAAATTATAAGTCTCCGTTTTCGGGGACTAACAAGCCATGTATGGCACAGTCCCAGTTAGTTATCAAATTTAAGATATAAAGTTTTGTTTATAGTAATATAGCTGGAATATAACCATGTCAGGAATATGATTTTTTAACATTAAAATGATTGACATTTGTATCTGATCGTCAAACATGTACTTGTCCATATTGAGAGATATTGCTCTGGAACAGCATTCAAAATCAGCCATTTTGAATACATGTATATATATAACATGATGTATAATGAATATTTAAAATTTGAATATAATCAGTCAAAACAAGTCAGAGATATGGGTCTAGAAGCCAATTCATTAAAACAAAATGGCCGCCAGACAGCCATTTTGAATCCAATCTGAAAAATAAATGATGTGCATCAGGAACCTGTAATGTCTAATATATGTACCAAGTTTGAACAAAATCTATCTGTAAACAGCTGAGAAATGCTTGATTTTTAGGATTTTTTAGCCATTTCGAATAGGATCGTCAAACCAATACATCTGTCTATCTATATGACATGATGTATAATGAATATTTAAAATTTGAACATAATCAGTGAAAGCAAGTCAGAGATATGGCACATTCATTGAAACAAAATGGCCGCCAGTAGTCCATTTTGAATCATATCGTAAAACAAAACGATGTGCATCAAGGTCCTATAATGTCTAATGTATATACTAAGTTTGAACAAAATCCATCTGCAAACAGCCAAGAAATGCTTGATTTTGATGATTTTTAGCACAAAAATGGCCACCATTCGGCCATCTTGAATCAGATCGTGAAACAAATTGACGTGTATATGTATAATATCATGTATGATGTATTTGTGAAGTTTGATTGTGATTGGTCCAGGCATTTTTAGGATACAGGTCCGGATGGACGGACACACGCACGGACGGACGGACACACGTGCAGAGGTCAAAACATAAGTCCCCGTTTTTGGACTGCGTCCAAACGGGGACTAAAAATAACACAATTTATGGTGTTACCTAAGAGTATAGTATTTGTATGCAAACTGAATCAGGCTATATATTCATGCTAAAGTTGTTGTATGGTATACGTAACACAATATATTATATTTGTTTAAATATTATATATTATTATTTTGCTTATTATTTAGCAAAAACAGACCACCACTGCAGTTAATGATTTGTAAACATACTGAAGTGCTTACTTTTTACTTCTCTGTGTCCTTGTAGTATCAGCAGTTTTTTGTTCCCCTGAGCTAGTTGATGTGGCATTATTATATAGACCAGTATAACCTGACATTTGCGTTAGATCTGCACCACTCTTGAGTGCATCATATGTGGCTCGTATACTAGCTGTTCTTCTTCCTTGTTGCATCTAAGTGACCCAAATAGTAAGTATAGCATGCACATATCAGTACATATTAAGCATAGTACGAACAATTTTAGTTATTGTAACCACAAGAAAATATTTGACGATGGAATCAGCAACAACAACACAGATTACAGGGACAGACGTTTTCTCCTCATATAGCTTGACCTTCACATCTACAACGATATGGATAAGGTAAAAATGAAAAATGGTTTTCCCTCTAACTGGGCAGGCTGGGTTACCAGAAACACAGAATTTATTTTATTCAGCCTCAATTAAAGTATTTATGTAGCAGGTAATAATCTAACTATAATTTTACAATTTTCTTTCTGATATTTTCATGGTGTAATCACATAGGAACACAAATTTACCTGTAGTGTATTAGACACAGCCTGGGCTGCCGCCAATGCAATAGCATTAGTTCCTGTACTCATCTGTCCAAGTCTATAGGAAAGTAATGATGACTGTGTGGTACCAGCACCACTGTCTACTGCTGTAGATGCAGCAGACGTTGCTGGGGGTGTTGAGCTGTTACTTCGATAGCCTGTTGCAGACTCTGGGACAGCTTCATGAAGCATATTTCTAGTCTGTAACTTTTCAGAGGCAACTTTCTTATCAACGTGGTTTTCTAGCGACGTGTATTTCCGCTCTGCATGAAAATAAAAGTATGACTAATAACTATTGAGATGAAACTATTATGAGTGGGATGCTAACAGACTGTCTGTGCCAAGACTGCCTGCGAATGAATAGATAACAAAGGATAGTTCATGTATCACCCTTGACCAGAGTTTATACACAAGACAATGTTACTTATTCATTCATAATTGTCAATAACCGAATCACGTAACAGTGAAATAAGCATGTTTTGTGTACATCTCATCAGAGGTATACCAGTACACAGTATACCGATTAGTGCCATTACATTTTATTTTATCTCTGCATTTCTTTGTATTTATGTTCCTTACCATACAAAAACCCTCTGAAGGTTTTAAGTAGTGATTGCCTTTGTTCAAGGTACATGTACATGTAGTAGTCAGAATGAGGATTTAAATACAATTATAAATAAAACAGATGACTCACAGCCAAGTTGGATTTAGATAATTAGAGGCTATTAAATACTGTTGCCACTGAACAAAAGTGAAATCACTGTAACTGCCAAATTACCGGGTTGACATGTAAAAAACACTAAAATCCAAGCTTTGAAATTTATAGTGTATTATTTGATGAGACAGGATATGTAATCATCTAAATAACAAACTCTTTTGAGACATACAATTATTACAGTTTACAATACAGTTTGTTACAGTAAAGTGTTCGCTATAATGAAACACGTAATATACTGGGTTTGTTATGAGTGAGAGACATGCAATAAGTTCATTATAAAAACGTCTTCATCATTTTATAACAAGGTTATAGTATATATTATCCAGCAACAAGAGTACCAATGTGTGCTTACTTTCTCCTCGCTGCAAGTGATTGTGTTGAGACTGTGTATCAAGTTCAAGTGATCCTACAACAAGAAAATATGACAAGATTACACATGAAGATTGGAAACAACATGACACATGTTTTTTCCCTCTCTCCCTGAGATTAACTCTGAATATTGTACAATTGGAAATTGCTAAGTTATTTTTGCGAAGAGCCAGTCAAAAGTAGCAATTTTGCACAGTCTAATTTTTGTGAAACAACCTTTCTAAGGCAATTTTACGTCCAGATACGAGTATCAGAAATGGGCATCCCAGTGAACAATGAGAATAAACTTTCTTTTCATGGTTAGAACAATGACTACCGGTACGTAGAATACTGAATACAATCACAGATTCTATAGTACAAAAGAAACATTCTTCTATTCAAGAGCGTTTGTATAAAATGCATGGATTGCAGAATGCTTTCTGCATCAACATCATAGCATCAACCATGGCGGACAACAGCTCGCATACAAACCCAATAGTGTTCAACTTGCTGCATTTATCAGAATTATCGTTATCAACCCAACTGCACACACACGTTACACTAAAATTGAAATATTGGCAGACACACTACAGCTTAAACTATGTTATCATCGTGTCTATTCACGTACATTGGCTACAAGGATCAAACGTCTTTGATGTGTCCAACCACAAATATCACTCCGTCGCAAATACATGTAATAAATGATGACACTAATCATGGTTTAATCAAGACTAATAATAGTTTGACAAAGCATAAGTGGGATGTGGCTGAAAAACATTTAATAGGCAGTGTAGCTCCAATCACAACCAGCAGTGTACGCTACTGTAATATTTTATAAATGACTCCAAAAATAATGACTAAATTTATTCATTTAATTTGAAGTAAAAAGTGTAATTAAAGTCTCTCTGCAAACTATGCAAAAATATAACTACGCAAATAGTACGTGTTAGTTGGTTTGTTGGTAAGAAATCTGTGTGACCTGCATATCACTGTTTCAACCATTTTAAGCACATCCAAATGTAGATGGTTATTTTGGTTTCTGCTTTAATTGTTCATTCAAATTTTACTCATGTCTCAATTTTGTGAAACACGTAGCTTCATTCTGTTCTTTGTTCTGATCACTATGGGCAGCACAACAATATTTCATGTAGTTTATGCATAATCAACAGCCTGAAACCCAATGAAGCTATAGAAATGATCACTGATGCAACTTTTGAACCAGATAAAATGAATAATGGTTTTCATATTTAATTATTATAAATAGGGATGTAGTGAGGGTTGATCATTGTTCATCTCAAAACGACACCTGCTACTATAACAATTATTCATGAAAGCTACACCACAATCTACCACAGAATGAGTTTCAAACTGCATTCCAGAGCTTTCAATATTTAACATTATTATACATCCGTCACCGTAACGCCAGTTACAGCGTGCCGTAATTTTGCAGTATTTTATGGAGTATTTTCAGCCTGCATGTACCATATAAAGAAATGCGACTTCCAAATATGGAATGATTTCGCGCATAAGCGGCCTCTAATAATAAAAACAAACATGGCTGCCACCATGGTTTGAATAGACTCCACACAAAGAAGTTTGCTGATTCTGTTTTAAACTTTTTGGATTTCGACATTCCCATGATGTATTTTTGGTAGGAAAATATGTACAATAATAATAAGGTTATTTTGAGGATACCTCTAAGTACGCACTCAGACAGTATGCAGTTGAATCGACGAATTGAGATGTACTTACTTCTTTCAAGAACTTCTGTTATACCAGCATTATCTGCTTCCAGTTCCATTTTGAACTTGTTCAGTTCATGGTCTAATTTACGTAGATGACGATCAACCTAGATGATGAAGAAATATTTCAAGATGTTTCATCTAGAAGGCAAGGGTATAGTAATTTTGCCATGCTTTAAAATCTTTAATAATTGTGTACCAGACTCCAGGGCAGGTAACTTTCAAATTTCACCAGCCCTGCCTTAATGATTATTTTTTAATTAACCCTCATCCTGCCAGCCCCATTTATATTGACTTGGCAAGATAAAGGTTAATACTTGCATATCATTCCAGTAAGCACACCAGATTTGATTTTATTTACCAGAAGAGACACTGACCATACTGAGCTGAATGACACCAATGTCTCTTCATTAAGTCATCACTTTCATCTACATGCGTCTGTGAATGTGAAGTCTGATACATTCAGAATGAAAATCAAAAGCATCAGTTCGGCTAAGAGCCTATCCCCTCCAAAATGCTACTCGTAATCAGATTTATATAATACAGCGTGGTTATTGACCACTGTGAACATCGTGCAAATGCGTAGACCATAGTAAATGAGTGTAAACTACACTTTGTTTTTTGTGACCATTCTGTTTCGTCATTGTAAAAGTGCTGTTAAAATCAATGACGATGCAACTCAGTTTGCAACATTAATTTCCCAAAAAAAGACTTTTGGCCAATTTTCGATATGGGTGCTCGATTAAGCACCCACCTCCCTAAAAAAAAAAACAATTTTGTGAGCTGACTGCCGAACTAGTATGATATATGTAGTTTCAACTATAGCACAAATAACCAGATTTGTTTGTTTCCTATGATGATACTATGTTTTGACCTTGTTTGCTTAGTCATACACCTTATTTTCCTCCAAGGTGTCTCTGTGCTCCCTTTCTTGCCACCTGCAGGTTATTCAAATTGCCAACATAAAGCGGGAGGGTCGTCTCCTGCACACATGCTTGAATTGAGTCCCAAGCGATGATAACAACACACGCTAAGATCACAAAGGCTCATGTATAGACACTTGTTTGTAAACAATGACAGGCTATGGCCGTCTGACGCATGCGTAGGTGATGACTCCCCCGCTTTAAAATTGTTGCATTTTTTGTTTCATAATCTTCATATCAGTAATCATCGAAGAAAAAAATTCAACTTAATCCAATAACATTATTTGTTAAACAGACATTTTAATGCAGGCAGGCAGTAATTTCACACTGATTGCTAAACACATAGACACATTCAATTTTGAAAGGAAGCAGAGGTTTTTCTGCTTTTTGCAGGGAATTTGAGACCAATGAATGAATTCTGGCGATAAAAACTTGTATGTGGTGCAGAATGCTGTATATATCGGGTATAAAACGGACTGTGAAGTAGACAACAAACATTCCCTTTGCATGGCATCATTTCGCCTCAAGGGGTGTTAGTTAATGACATGACTAATGAACACGATGTCTCATATTATTGTATACGAGTACATTTTGTACCGACTGCGACGCTCGCTTTGAAAGCATGTATACGGGATGGCAATACTATGGACAACCTCAGAAGTAGCGAGGGTGATACAGTACTCATTTCGCTTTTCGAATGCTTTTTTTGTTGAATTTGGTAGGATAATTTCCGCTTGAGATGAGATTATGAGATTTATTTACACATATTTTTTACCAATCTTGAATTCAAAATGGTACAGTTGTAGGATAAAATCACCAATGAAAATTTTGCTGAGTGTTGTTTCATTAATTTACTTTTAGATATTAAGTAGCATTTTAATCATAGTTTAAAAGCCAGTTGTTCAACCTTAAGTTGACTACCATTAAAACTTATTGCCAGATTTTCTTGACTTTAACCATATTAGGCATTATTATAACTGTTTGTGAAATCTAGATAAAAAAGAACTATGGTCACAGAACTACTTTTCTCACAAAAAATGTATCAAACACCAGTAATATCAAACACAACATGGTGTGATGACTGTGTTACTTTTATTACAGGCATTTATATACACGTATATAGTTTGATCATGCCTCTGAATCAATAATAATAATAACTTTATTATACTACTATGCCATCAGAGGGCGCAGTATGGTAAATAAAATACAAATCATAAGAAAAAATACAGTAGCTAGACTGTAAGATAAAATTAAAAATAAAAGATGTTAAAAGCTTAATAGGAAAAACAAATTAAGGATAGTTACAGGATTCTCCCAATGTAGAGGTGATAGCTATCATCAGAGGTACATTACTTGGGGTTTGCAACTACGGTGACATGATACCAAGATCCCATTACAATCTCGCTCTCACATAAGCGTTCCAACTCAGAAAAATGCGAATGCGCATGCCCGAGGTAACTAGGATACTGGGATGTCCAGGTGGATCAAAATAGCTGCCCACGATATGACGGATTACGAGAACTATATTTTCTGTACATTTTCGATGTATTACATTTTTCACTACGATAGTGGCAAGAAAAGTTTTATTTTTTCATTACAAACCTTGAACATTGATATATATCATGTCAGAAGGTCGTAGCCTCAGTCTCGCTATCTACGAGATGAGACTTCAATGGGATCTTGACATGATGTCACCATACAGTACTATGCGAGTTGCAAACCCCAAGTAATGTACCTCTGCTATCATATACCTGATTTCTGTTTTGCCTTATTTAGAAACTTTGCCAGGGGTATGAAGCATGTCATTATTTTAATGAAATTGTCTGTTTCATTTAGTTTATTTTTAATTCCTATTTCTTGAAACAGCTCCCCTCTTTCTTTATTGAGAAATTCACAATCAAGGATAAAATGTTGTTCGTCCTCAACTGAATTTGTATGACATTTTTTACAAAATCGCTCATCCGCAGAATCAATGTTCAAAAAAAAAGTCCAAGTCCTAATTCTAGAATTTAAAGGTCTTTTCATCAGATCATGTGGTTCAGTTTCATTTTTCAATGAAATTCTCACGGTAAAAAAAATTAAGTTAAAGTTTCTGGGAAGTGATTTACTGTTCTGTAAAAAAAATGCATGGGACAATTTTGAATAAAAAAAGTCAATACTGTTACACACACCATGTTATTACATCCATGCACACAACGATCGACAGCTGATAACGAATATTGAATAAATTATGTTAATAGGCTTACCAAATCATATATTTGGTTAGCGATCTGTACTTTTTCGTCCGCATCTTCTAATGCTTTGTAATAATCCTGCGTAATAAAAGTTACACGCCTTGTTAGAAGAGATATTTAACTCGATCGTGCTGTAATGAAAAGAGTGTAACACGACTTACTTTTCGTATTTTCTCGTATTCCTGGTCTCGCTGTTCGGTTTTCATTTTCTTTCCGTTGACGAAGAAGTTCTTCACCCGCTCGTCTAAGTTATCCGCCGCGTCTGAAACACGAGAAAAAAACTATATATAGTGGGGATGTCAACAGAAAAAAATAACAGAACTGGTCTAACCCTCGGAAGAATGACACTTACTTTGAACTTGCAAGTCCATTTCTCGCATTTCCGTAAACCTTTCGCGAAGGTCCATCGGCAGCTGCTCGATCACTGTTGACACAAAGGAAAGCGGGAATCATTAATTTTAGGTAAATGCTTAGGGCCCAATTTTTATGAACGCTATAATTGAGGGAACTCAGTGTCACAAATCGACAATCGAACATTGACTTACTTTCGAGGAAGTCCTCTAAATATAGCATTTTAAGTGCGTTTTTCACAATAATCTATATTCAATATGGTGGACGGTGACTCCCAAACACTGTCTTAGTGTAGATGAGTCGTTTATAACGGACTTTTTAATTGGTCTATTTTTTGCATATCATTATAGCTGATGTTAACGCGCAATATTTTTAGAAAGATTTATGCTGAATAAAAGTAAGCATTTAGTTCAATAATTGTGTTACGTACCACAAAGTATCTTTCTTTCATTTATTTCGATGCGGAAATTGTAAAAAAAGCTACATTTTCGAAATTAGCGTGCATATGTACTAACCAATGAAATAAGGCTTTGCAAATTTAGTGGATCACAATGCTCCGCCATTATTATCATCGCTTGTCACAGCAAAACAATTGAGGGCGCTCGTATATTTGAGCGTGGGTTGCGTTTCGGATGAATAAATGGTCCTTGGCTGGAGAAGATGTAGCTCTTCTTGTGTCGGTCTTTGTAATGGTATTTCAGTCATTTTTCATATATTTTGTTTCATTAAATTTGTTAATTTCAGATATTGGAATTGTTATCGACACAGAAGAGCTATGGTTTCTCTCAAAAACTGGAGTAAACACAAACTTGTTCTCTGTTCTCTGTTCTGATTTTCAAAATCTAGCATCTCTTCGAGTCTTGAGGATGTATTAACCTAATTTTAAACCATGGGGAATACATTATTTTTTTCATTATCAGTACAGATAATTCACCTGGTGTAAGTTCACTACTAAACGCCGCGTCCGAGTCCACGCCGATCCAAATCATAAGCTTATTCAGCATTGGGGCAAAGGTCCTCCGATCTTGCTATATTGATGATGGAACATATATGGAACACAGGCACATTACGACACGCAATTCTGGTTTCGAAAATGTTGGTACAGCATGAATAACAGTAAATAACACTGTGAAATAATTATATACTCATTGTACACACTAACGGGAGGTGATACATGTATAGGGTTTATTTATGTCCTGTGGTAACAACCGTGACAATTGATCTTTCTGGTCTTGGTAGGACGAAATTATCTGACTTACGTCAATTTTTGTTCGGACTATAATCTTCAAGCGGGTCAATGTTGAGTCATTATATACCTCATTAAACCCAATTGGTGCATTCAATTTGTACTGGGTGTATTGATTTGCATTGTAATGTAACTAAATGTGTGCGGCGTCAATCGATGCATTCTAATTATTACATTATATATTTACACACTGAAATAAAATGTTTACTTATACATTTTCGAACGAATATATTTATGTGCCTCGAGAATGTTCATGATTAATTAGAATTCAATGAATTCGCCAACCTAGTGTATCAGTAATACATGTTCTTATCCATATTACCAATTTTAGATTGTGATAAACTGTACGGCGTACAGCTCGCGATTCTACAAATACGATATACGATCAAGTGCCAAAATACGTGTTTGTTAGCGAGATATTATTTCACGTCTGGGTAGTTGAGTTACTGACGAATTTAGTTAGCAGCAGATAGATATTCAGAAGCCTTGTCCGATATCAATGTTCCTGGTAACGACCGTCCGTCCGACAGAAAACCCGCTACCGGGGAAACGCGTGAAAAAAACTTTGTGATAAAAGATCGGGAACAAGTTACCACACACGGGAGATTTCACCTGTAGAGCTCCGGTGAAGTCTACTTCATTCACATAAAATGCAGGGGTTATATTGCCTCGACACGATTTCGAATGACTCATATTTTTGCGATCCAATAGCGCTGACGTACGTGGGTCAATTGTACTTCGGCATGAAGTATACTGCTGTGTGCATTTAAAATCAGAAGATCGTTGTACCGGTGATTATTCGGCATTATTATATGGCAAATGTTGTGTCATTGAATCTTCTACCACAGCGTACATGGGCCTGTCGTCAGACTTTTGTATTTCAAGTTTATATATTCATTGTTTATTTCAGTTCTTTAAATTCAAAACTAGGATATTACTAGTTCTTGCAAGTACTACAATGGGAAACTAGCACATATTCAATTTCTCGTTGAAGTATTCATTGTGAATCTGAAAGAGATCACATCTCGTATATATTATAAACGTTTATTGTTGCAATATTACAAATATATACATAATTTTAATAATTTTAATTTTATTTAATGTGTTTAATGTTATTTTTTTTATTTTTACTTCTTTTTTTTTTCTATACTTTATTGTACACTTTTGTCAAGATCCTAATAAGGATACGATTACAATAAAGATTATTATTATTATTATTACATAAATTTAAAATTCAGCCTATCTACAGACAACGAGGACTTTAGGTACTTGGCATTACCGTTGACTTTATTTTCGAGTTCTTGATATTGTTTCATAAACACAGGTGTTCGTTTTTGATGTCGTTTCGTATTGTGATCATTCGAACCTGTTCAATTTTCCCACCCCACAGAGCCGTTCTTTCCTTGTTGGCGTCGTTAGAGATACTTTGGGTTCACGAAAAGCGGCACGTTGTATAATCCTTGATCTTTTTGTGTTAAACACGTAATTCAGGACATAATAGCCGTAGTATAATAGTAGAGTTCACGCTACACGAAGTATGGTATTACTGTAACAATGTAATTTGGGCATATAACAAGTTTTCCTTCGCCACGTACTATTCCACCGTTCTGTTGAGACGATATGGAATGTGTATAGTACTGTGGGGGAATGCAGTTAAAAACCGGACTCCTTGAGCGGGGGTATACAAATGTCAGACACGGAGACAGCAATTCGTCTAAGAAACTAATAAACTAATGGTTTATTCAACAGCGAATGCTGGAACATAGTAACGAGTTACAAACTGAAGAAATACATATCGAGAAGCGTGTGTTTCATTCTTATATACCCTTAAATCGAACGTCATAGGAAACATAGCCCACAAAAACAGAGTGAAAAAAGGCGGGAAAGCTTGAAGGACAAACTTACGATCAGTGATTGGCCATGTCTATGAAAATACTATGTCGTGATTGGCTCTATAAATACCATGGTAACAAGACTAATTAAACACACGTAATTAACAAGAGGATTTACTTTTAGAATCCGGCTAGCTAATATAAAAGGCTGATATATAAACTATTAGTATCACAGCTGGTACTACATGAAACGGGTGTGGAGTCGCTTGTCCTTGAATTTCATATAACTCGGAGTAACTTTCTCCGACAAGTACATCGTTGCATTTACTTTTAGCATTTTACATTGATGTACAGTGGAGTGGGATATTAGATACCAAGATTCTACATTGAATGTCCAATATTTGCATATGAATGTGTTTTGACTACATGACATGTTTTCAACAAAGGTTAGTCGCCATTGCAGCTTTCCAGGTACGGCCTGTCGTGGTCTAACTATTATGTGGAATACCTGAGCGGAGCTACCTTAACATCTACCATGAGTAGATACCAACGGTGGTTACGGTGATTGTAAAGTAATAATATTGTAATTCAATTCAGTATTGCATTGCGAGTGGTGCACATTTTCCATTTTAACACTGTCACAATACGTCACCGAACCAGGCATGTGTACGGGTAATTGTCCGACTTGTTGCTCCGTATAACAGCTTTAGTTTCCTTTTACTGTACACTCTCAGTAACCGCCACTGATTATCAGTGGTACATACAAATCGGTTACTGCACACATCGATCATCATGACGAGTACAGCGGAGAAGACGATTAAAGCAAAGCGTCGGATGTCCGGTCACCACGGAAGACTCGCTGTTCAAGACAACTTTTTAAACATAGGGGACTGTTGGGTGACTGAAGTTGCCGTCTCTCTGTGGATGTCTTCCCCGGTGTACCAGTGGCAAAACCTGGCTGACGATTTAGGATATAGTTATGTCGAAATCGAAGAACTGGAGCGCCGAGAGCGGAATTTGGGAACAAACCCCGTTTACGAGCTCCTGCGTACATGGGGCAGACGGGAGGGGTCCACGCTACGTGTTTTACAAGAAAAATTGAAATCGCTCGGAAGATATGACGTGTCGCGACTTTTAGATGAAGCTATACTAGGTGAGATTACAGTCAATTTTACAGTCAATTTTAAAAGGGTTGATTTGAGTTGAATATATTGTGTAGCTGTGCTCATTGGTTGTGATATTTATTGATCGATATGCCGGTTCACAAGACTTGTTACACTTGCTACATTGTATGAATTAGTATATAAATCAACCCCAACGCTGACCTCTTATGTTACCTTGCGTTATAGGTCAAATGAGAGAAAATGTTCAGTCGAAAAAGAGATGTTAAATTGTTTCGTTTTGTATACACTCATTTCAGCAATTATCATATCGAAGCTTATTTTAGAAAATATATTAGTAAAGATATAGTATTTCGAACTGGAAAATGCGCATTTTTATTCTTAAATTGTTGTCAAGAATATGGCAGACATTTTTTTCCAATCTGTATCCCAAGCATGCCTTCATGTTATCAACATGTAACATGCATTATTTGTAATATGTGACACTTGCTATTCATATTCTCTATTTCCTGACTACGAACATTGTCAACATGTAGCAATATCGCAACAATATTGCATGACATATCTACCCCTTTGCTTAATAATTGTGTCCTTTTGTACAGGAGAGTTCTGCCTTGAATGTAAGATTTGGAATGAAGACGGCGATACCGACTTCACTGTCCACACTAACAATACATCCACATTGGATCAAGCACTGGAACAATTTTTAGCTGACCACAATATTGACAAGGATAATATTGTGTTCGTGAGTCCAGCCAACTCCGGTTTCATCCTAGATTGGACAACTAATGCTTCAAAACTAAAGGTCAGTAAATCAAACGTTGTTAAAAATGTTCTATGTGAAAAAGTGTAAATATTTGTCTTATTTAATAGCAGAAAATGGCTTACATATCGATATATATACATATATAGTAAGACCACTATAAAAATGTCACTTTTATTAGCTTGCTAACCACAAAGTATATGTGTTTACACCATCCACAGGGTAGAGAATTGGTAATATCTGTTGACAATTTCTCGAGGCTATCTGAGGTTCTTCGTTCTTATAACAAAACTGAAGACGACTCTTCAATCTCTTCAAGGGATTTCGCCAGTTTATCCACTGAACACCCGCACATTATACATAAGCACTATTTCGCATTCAACGCATGCAACATTGGTACATTGCATGCAACAACGCCCCCGCCATGTGTCATGCAGAATGTGCACGATAATGTATTACTAAGAAAACAATCCTCCAAACAGCAAATTCAAAATTCAAAATCAAGTTCACTCACAAGTGCATACAACGTACCCCAGAAATTCTTTTATGAAAATGAGCAACCAGAAAATGATGAAATCCCTACAACTATGCCTCCGCCCCCACCTCCACGACAACCACGAAATGAAAGAGATACGAGCAAACAGACAACATCGAACATTGTGAAACAAGATTGGATTGAAAGAAAACAATTGAAAAAGAAAAGTTTGCAGGAACAGTTAAAAATGAAAGTCCCACCTCCGTTACCGAAACGGCAAGTGCATGGTAGCGCGGCACAAGACGCAAACACGGCATATTATGGAGATCACAGCTGTGCTACTAGCAGGGATGTCAGTTCCTCTAATGTCGTAAATGTCAACAGAAACGAAACTGCCGATGTAATAGAAAGTCTGGATTATTTGATGCTGGAAGATAAAGAAATAGAAGATGCCAAGATTGACCGAGCCAGCAGCGCATCTCAAAACTATGCAAGTGAGATTTCTAAGAGCTTAGAAGATATGTGTACAGAAAATCCAGCGTGGCATCCAATGTTAACTTCTAATTTTGAAAATGTAAGCTATTCTAATTTTAAACTTATAGACTTCATACACGCACACACACATAATCACGTCTTACCATCATTGTGACGACACGCATTGGATTAACTTTGATATAGTTGAATTAACTTTTTATATAGTTGCATCTAGTTTGGATTAAAACGCGACTCTATATTTAATTCGTTGCAATTTTATTTCAAGCTTAATTAAATAAAAACGCAGCAAAGTAGTAATAACATCATACACCCTGTAACTTGTAAAGGGGAGTAAGTATGGTACAGTTGGAATAATATTAATATAAGCTGTATCGTACCTTTCCCAGTCACTAATCCTAAGCTCCGCAAGACATATTAATAAGTTGAATTAACTACTAATGGAAAATATGTTTTACGAGGACTATGAAAAACGTAATCGGAAGGTGTATATGTCTTTGGAAATTAGTATACTATTTTTTATCTGTATTATTGTCCTCAAAAAATTATTAATGCAATAGTACACACCACTATACACACACACGCGCGCGCGCGCACGCACGCACGCATTATACATACAAAAATGATTCGCTAAATCGACAAGTTCTCTACTATGTCAATTTCAGATCCAGCAGGTGACAGAGCAATACCGAAGGCAAGATGGTTGGTACATGATCCACGTTTACGAAGGTCAAATAATCTTGACAGTCACGTAAGTGTTATTATTGCCTTTGAAAACATAACTTTAGTTACCAATTGTTGATGGTTTTAAACATATTGATATACTTGTATGATATATTTTGGGTCAACTGTGTAGTTAAATTTGGTTGTCTAGGCTACTATATAATGATCAAGTTTACTTATATAAAATAAATATTGCCAATTTTGACTCTCCCTCGCACACACGCAAGTTGTCATTGTATATTTCGAGATGTGTTTTTGGTACAATTTTGTGTAAAGCATGTCTTTCAGTACGAGGTTGTGTAACCAGTGTGGCTTGCCTTATTCAATCTACTCCAGGTCATGCATGAAATAGCTGCAATAACTGATTTTTTTTCTGAAAGGTGGAATAGCAGTGATTACATGAATAAACTGTAAAATTAATGAAAAAATGACGGAACAATTTGTTTTCGTATTGTTTAGATTCCAAAAAGTTCTTAAGCATTTTCAAATATTTCAAAATGCACAAGGAAAAGTATACTTTGACGAAGAAGATTACAAATCGAAAACACTGGAAGATCTAATAGAAGTATATAAATTTCAAGACTTGCCTGTGAAAAATATGTCGGGCGAATGTAGACGAAGCAGCACAGATACCAGATATGTCGAAATGAAACCCAAACCGCCACCATCTGGCAGTCACATACGACTGAAGAGACCTATCCCAATTGATTGGGACATAGGTTATTGACTTTGTATCGTTGTGATACGTGCACTGTATTTACATGAAAAGTGAAGCCATTTCGTCGAATACACACGTGTAAGTGAAGCCACATGTAAAAGTAAAAACTTAAAGTTAACTTTAAACTTAATATATTGAAGTTTTCATAGCTAATATGGCGAAAGATAAATTATAATAATATGGAGATAAATAAATTAAGTGTTGTATGTTGTTATTTCCACTTCGTTAATTAAACTAGACTGAACATAGTTGGGCTAATGTTGCACCCTTGTTTTACTCCTGTGAATGACTGGAATTCTCTTTAGTTAGTTCCTACTTGTTTTAACTTTATATGAAATTTTAGTGTACATGCTTTTATTAATTATATTTTTAATTAATTTCCAAGATCTAATTTTGAACCTTTCTTATGTAATGGGATAAGAATACTACTTTTGCTGATGGAAATTTACCAGAACTTAAAATTTGATTGAAAAATCTGGCAATACGTAATTAATTCATTGAGAATCTTGTCCCCACCTGGAGACTTATTTTATTTTAATTTCTTTACAGCAACTTTGGTTGCACCAATTGTTATTGGTTGATTTAAATCTTTGTTAATTATTTCATTTCTTTCCATCTGGTCGATCTCCCCCTCAATTTTATTTTTAAAGCTTTTGTCATAGCTGTCATTTGTCTGTACACTGTTAATGTTTATAAAGTGAGTGTACCATTCATTAGCACTAACTGTATCGTTTTTACTACTTGATACATCACATTTTGAGAAATTTCTGATTATCTGCCAGTATATCTTAGGATTAGCTTCCTGTGAAATGATATCATTCCAAAAATCTTGTTTATAAATTCTTTTGCTAATTTTCAAGGTTTTACTATATTTTTTCCGGGCTAACATAAACTGCCCTCGAACATAACATTTATTTGGGTTCTTTTCCAATAATTTGGCACACTCTTTAAACTGCTTTCTAACCCTCCAGCAGTCTCCATCAAACCATTTTTGCCGTTTTGTAACACTTTTATATTTTTTTTTACGACGAGTATTAAACTTGATTAAACTTTGGTACAATAGCATAGTATATTTTACGAGCACCACCAGAAAGTATACTTGCCTAATAGATCACCTGATGTACGCCCATTCAAAATAATAAAATTATTAATTTTACATAATTCTACAAAAGAATTTCCAAATGAATTTACTTTCTTATCATGATTAATTCTGTTGCTTAAATCATTCTCTACATAATCATCTGGTACTGGTATATGAGCAATATTATCATTGATGATAAAATCAAGAAATTCACCAGTGCAGGCATTGAAATCGCCCATAAGTGCTACCCCCTTCACAATTGGTCAAATATATTAATATTTGTATACAAAGCACAAATTATAATCCAAACCAGAGTCAACGAGTTCACCACTAATTTTGCACCAGACATATTCACTGCACTTTGTATCAATTTTTGTGATGTACTTTTGTAATTAATTTTTAAACAATATAGCAACTCCACCAAACTTGCTGCTACGTTTTCTATCACTTGTATAGTATCGACTTATTAAACCAATTTTCAGGTACCAGGGATCTTACGCCACTTTTTCAATCAAACAAAGACACACACAGATCTAGAATTCGTGTCAACTTCTAGACTTAGTCGGCCGTTGAGAACTCTCCAAGACAAAATGCCTCGGAGAAAAGTCCCCCAAGACTCTCTCGAGACCGACTGCCTCGTGGAGAACTCCCTCAGACCAAGACCAGCTTTATTCATTTTTCAAACCTTATCCAATTACAGGGGAGTTTAAAAGCGCAAGGCGTAGCCTCCAAACATTCTACTCATATGTAGCCAATCACTCGAAATACTTAACACGTCATATCTATTGATTAATTGCTCTCTATATGAAGAAACTACACATACCAAACTGTCAGATTTAGTTCCAATCACTGATTTAAGTTCCATCCAGGACCTTGTATAAGCTTAAATGACGACAGGTTATGGGAATGTGTTGAATGATATAAACCAGCTATTCAAGGGAACCACCTCCAGGCGCCTCTTATAAATAACCTATCTAAGCGCTGGGCTGAATCATTCATGTCACCAAATTGACGTGGAAGATTTGATGAACATTTGAAACGTTCGTTGAGATATTGCATTTCATTGCGTTTTTGTTGTGCCATGAATTGCTTTTTTAGAATCCCTTAATTTTGTTTCAAAGGCTGCAGTCGCACAGAGATAACCAGAACGTTGAAATGTTTTCTGAGTCCCTTAAATTTGTTTTGGACACAAGAGTGAATTGCAGCACTAATATTTGTTCCCGGAATCTGTAAATCAAATAATACAACAAGCAGCCTGTCGGCTGAGATAGCTCCGCTGTTAGCAATACACATTTCAATTAAGAACTGAAGATATTATTCGAAAATAAACAATATGTATAGTATCAAAGCGGACTTACTGTTTTCAACAAGAATTCTAAAATATCACTTTTTTCCAAAAATGACAAAAATATTCATCAAAATTAGATAATTCAAGATATCAATACAAAATGAACAAATCTGAGAGAGGTCTACACGTAGTACCTAAGCAAATTGGACTTGTGGTTTTTAACAAGAAGTCGAAAATATCAATTTTTACAAAAAATTACAAAAATATTCAATTAAATTAGAAAATTGTAGATATCATCATGAAATGAACAAATCTAAGAGAGGTCTATCCAAGGTACATATACACCATATATCAAAGCGTTCAGACTTGTAATTAAATTTTTACGCTGACGACGACAGACAATCACTGGTATGATAAGCTCGACTCGACAAAGTCGACAGTTGATCTAAAAAACTGTGTCACTATACAATAGGTGATTTTCCGAACAATTGCGAGATCTCGCGAGATGCATGAAAGACGCGCGTCGAACGTCAGCCGCAAAAATCGAACGATTTGATTTTGAACTAGAATTTCTTTATTTTGCAGCTTACATCGACCGGCCGATCTTCGACAGAGAAATATTGCTTCCGAATACCCTTACTTAATCGAAATTGCCTATCATCAAATGTGGACAGCACATTATTAAGCATGGAAATGTCCCCGAAATACTTTCGCGTTTGTCGAATCCCACGCGATGTTTGATGCGACTACGACGCTATGACCTTTGTTTGTCCTGTTTTTACGTTCGATTTCACGCATAACGCGTGATTCTCGCAGTGTACGGAAAATGGTCTATTTTCAAACTGCATTTATTTTCGCTGTAACTTTACATTCACGAAACATGTATTTATCTCCCCTAAGAAAGTTACCCATTTTTCTCCTAAGGCATGTAAGCAAGTAAGCATGGCACACACCATCCTAAGCAAGGTAACCCATGGCACACACTCATCTAAGCAAGGTAACCCATGGCACACACTCATCTAAGCAAGGTAACCCACGGCACACACTCATCTAAGCAAGGTAACCCACGGCACACACTCATCTAAGCAAGGTAATCCATGGCAAACACTCATCTAAGCAAGGTAACCCATGGCACACACTCATCTAAGCAAGGTAACCCATGGCACACACTCATCTAAGCAAGGTAATCCATGGCACACTGTCACACGCAACGTAATATTACCGTAATTAGTATAGTACATGTGTGATGGTTCAAATACCAAAATGGCAACAGTACCATAAAGTAACATACGAACACAGAGCCAACAGATGAGGTTATAACTGGTACTGGTATTATTATACTCTGCAATCATCAAGTACAATAAC